CCTGAAAAGGGCTTAGTAGTCTTCATACCAAAGGTATTGATGGTACATACATAAATATACATAACATACACATCAATATAGCAGGTAGCTAGGTGACACAGTGGATAAAGTACTGGACTTGGGGTCAGGAAGAGCTGACTTCAAATCAAGCCCCAGACATTATCTGTGTGACCTTAGTCAAGTCACTTAATTTCTCTCTGAATCAGCTTCCTGATCTGTACTATGGGGACAGTAATAGCACCAACTTCCCAGAGTTACTGTGAGGATCAAATAAGATAATATTTGTAAAGTTCACTGTAAATCTTACATCATTATAAATTGTTAATATAACTATTATTATTAATTTCCATTACTATTATTATAAATTTTATTGTTATTACATTTTTCAATCTTCATTTTCAACATGCCTTAAGTTCTGTACTCACATGGACCAGAACCAATCTTAGAGGTGACATTAAAAGTTCATCCACTCTTTGCGGGGTTATTCCCCCTATGCAGAATTTGTGCAAGGAAAATCCCCAAAGAGAGCTTGTATCTAGCTTGTATTCAAATCCTTCATAAGTACTTAAGGTAATAAATGCTTACAGAGGGCAGTCTTTAACTTTACATAAAAATACTAAAGGTATAAATGATTCAAAGTAGCTTATAACCCAGATTCAGGAAACATGTAAAACAATTAAAATAGATCATAAACTCTCCTAAGAAGAGCATTGAAATTGGGCTTGCCAGAGGGGTAACACTCTCATGTTGAAGGGAAATTCACCTGTCTCACATAATCACCTGAAGATCAGCTGTACTATGACTCTCAGACTTCATTTGTGAGGCACCCTGAAAATCTGGAACTATCTGAGAAGTCTCCCTTCTCTTGATGGGTTATATTTGGGGATTATATGCTTCAGAAAATCAATATAACCCCTTTCTCTACACATCAATTTTGTGTTCAGGAATATTCTCCATGAACATCTTGGTTTTTTAGAACTATAAAGTTAAAGAGCACTCTTTCTAGAAAAAAAGAAGGGAAGTTTTTGAGCAATAGACCCCTTGGAGAGAGAAGATTATGTACATACTTCCTCCTCTCTCCTTCCTTCCCTTCACCAGTCTGCCCCTCCCCCCACCACTATAACAGGAACAGCAACAAATATAACATAGGAGCTCAGAGGGCACTGATATCCTAAATTTTTAAATTCTCCATAACCTTTCATTTATTTGACTGATGGTACTCTGTAAAATACTTAAACTTTTACATCAAATTGTCATGCAATGAAAATCTTGCGTAATTTTCATTTGACCATGATTATTTTATATAATATACATATATTATATAATTTTATATGACTCATATAGTTATTTTCTGTGAATAATTAGGAGATCAACAATTAAATCTTGGTGACATTAACAGTCAATTTAACTTGGATTATTCTAGGTGAAATTCTTAAAAACACAAACAAAATCTTTGGCTTCAGATAAACATGTAAATGACTTTGATAATTTTGACTGATGGGCGTGGAAGCCAGTGGGGGTGGGAAAGAAGCCAAATAAACACTGATGTGTTTTTCCTGATGATTCCTCAAGTGAGGCAAACATGATTGTGCAGGTAAAAAGCCTTCTTGTTGGTCACTGAAGCAAAATTAATTGCTAAGGTACATCCCAAATGAAGTTCATGGGGATAGACAAAATAAAATATTGAGCACCGCAAACAAATAGGTACAAAATTACTAATTATAAGTAGTTAGCAAATAAACATTTCTTAAGTGCATACTATATGCTGAGTATGTCTCTGTTCTCAAAGAGTTCACAGTTTAATAGGGGAGACAAGCAGAAAACAACTAAGTACAAGCAAACTATATGCATGATAAATTGGAATTAATCAACAGAGCGAAGTCATTAGAATTTTGACTGGGACTTGAAGGAAGTCATAGAAGTTTATGCTGAGATGAGGAGGGTGAGAATTTCAAGCATGGAGGACAGCCAGCAAAAATGTCCAAAGTCTGGAGATGGAGGGTCTTATCCCCAAAACAGCAAGGTTTGTACCTGTCCTTAACCACAGAGTACATGGGTTAGAAGGAATTAGAAGTAGTAGAAGGCATAAGAAAACTAAAAGGTACCAAAAGAGGGCCAAGTAATAAAGAGCTTTGGACAACAGAGGATTTTATATTGAATCCTTTTTTTTTTTAAGTGAAGCAATTAGGTTTAAGTGACTTGCCAAGAGTCACACAACTAGTGAGTGTTATGTGGCTGAGGGTGAATTTGAACTGAGGTCCTCCTTGATTCCAGGGCTGGTGCTTTATCCACTTCATCACTTAGTTGTCCCTATATTTAATCCTAGAAGTGATAAGAAGTCATTGGAATTTATTGAGGGAGGGGGGTGATATGGTCAGATTTGCACTTTAGGAAGATCACTTTGACAGGTGTTGAGAACAGACTTGAGTGGGGAGAAGCTTTTGTCAGGAAGCCCAACCAGGAGGCTTTTGCAATAATTCATGCATAAGGTGATGACAGCCTGTCTCGTGGCATCCGTGACAGAGGAGAGAAGGGGCACCTTGAGAGACTCATACTACTCTTACCAGTAATAAAGAAGTTAGAATGAGGGGAGGGTTTAGAAAAAAATCAGTTCAGATTTGGACTTGTTGAGAATTTGAGGTGTCCATGAGGCATCCAATTTTAGATAGCCAATAGTCAGCTATAAATGTAAGGCTGAAGGTCAGGAAAGAGGTTAGGGCTGGATAAGCAGATTTGAGAATCACTAGAATGGAAGATGATAACTCTATTATCATCTGAATCCATGAGAACTGATGAGATCACAAGTGAAATAGTATTAAGGGAGAAGAGAAGAGGGACCAGGAAAAGTCCTATGGGACATATACATTAGCAGGTAGGATGTGGATGACGACCCAGCAAAGGAAACTGGGAAATTATATGCATCATAAGAAGCAGTGTACAGTGATAAGAGTACCATCCTGGGACTCAAGAGACCTGGGTTCTATCCCCTGATTGCCACTATCAAATTATATAATACATTTTTGTTGTTCAGTCATTTCAATTGTGTCTGACTCTTTGTGACCCCATTTGGGGTTCTCTTGGCAAAGATACTGGAATGATTTGCCATTTCTTTCTCCGATGTAACACCTAGCAAGTCATTTAACTTGATAGGTATCATAGCTCTAGAGCGGAAATGGATTTCAGAAGCCATATAACACAAATCCCTCAGTTCATAGATGAAGAAGCTAAGGCCCAAGAAGGTTAAAAGATCTTGTCCATTACAATGTCACAAAATAAATAAACATCAGAGGTGGGATTTGATTCATGGTTCTCGGACTCCAAAGTCGGTCATCTTTCTACTGTATCACACTGCCTCTCTGGGCCTCATTTTATTCAGTATAATGTAGCAGTTAAACTAACAAACATTTACATGTTTGGGACAGTGGCCCAAATCTGATTTCATCAGTTCAGAGGAAATCCCAACATGAAAACTTCATATGGTCTCATCAAAGTATTACTTGCCTATGGTACTGAGAGATAATATGATTTACCCATAATCAGCAACTATTATGCATCAGACATAAAATTTCAACCCAGGTGACGTCCTACTCCAAGTTGAGTACTCTATCCACATTGCCACAGCATTTATAGAGTACTTTAAAACTCCAACTTGCTTTCTTCATAACAACCTTGTGGGTTAAGTAATAAAAATAGCTCAATTTGTTGTTGTTGTTGTTTAACAGTGCATTAAGTTTTACAATGCACTTTCTTCCCTTAAACTCACCCCATGAAGTAGATAGTGCAAGCATTTTTATCCTTATTTTTTACACAAGCAAAGGGATACTCAGAGAGGTTTTTACTGTCTTGGGGCCTATTTCCATTATACTATAGTATTCTTAGTCCCATTTTACATATAACTGAGGCTTATGAGTTTACTTTCCATATGGTTATATGATGAGGAAGTAATAGTCAAAATTTGAATCCAGGTGTCATGAGTCTAATTGTCTTTCCATCATATCACATTGCCTCTCTAGGTCTAAATGACTTCTATGATCACATTAGTAATCTATGACATATGAACATATTGGTCCACAGCTAAATTTTTTTCTGTTCTATAAGTATAGTTCACAAACAGTTTCTTTTTCTCTCTCTTTTTTTTTGTTTGTTTTTTCATTTGGTTTGGTTTTGGACAAGGTAATCAGGGTTATATGACTTGCCCATGATCACATAGCTAGTATTCAAGTTTTTAAACACACTATATTAGCAGAAGAATTTCCCTATGGATTTAGTTATCCATTCTTTTGAAACATCTTTAAAGTTTTAAAGAGTGCTTAGTATTGAGAAGATTATAAAGGGATAGTTATCTCAGTTTTTTTTTTCCAGACCAGGCTCCTAACAAACAAGTGTGGTCTGAATAACTTTAGGCTTTTCCAAGGCAAGAGACTACAGTATTAAACCCAGGAAGCTATCTTACAAATGAGGGCAATTAGTCATGAGGGAAAACAGATAAGTAGGGAAAAAACCTGAATAAATATATCACCCCTGGAAGAGAGAAAAATAAGCACCCCCCATAATTATAGCAAGTCAAGTAGTAATAATGATTCCGATTTATGTTATGCTTTAAGCTGTATTTTTTTTTCCCTCACAATGCCCCTGCAACATAGATAGCACAAGTATTTTCCCCCAACTTTGTAAATGAAGCAAATGAGACTCATAAGCTTAAGTTAACCCAAGGCCACGTTGCTAGTAAATTTGGAAGCCTGGATACTCAAAACCCAGCCTAGTGAACCCCAAGCAAATCCTTTTTCTCTGTGCACTGTTCTAGATCCTCTGTGTATAAGAGATACATCATTTCTTTCTCCCTTCTCATCTACAAATTCAAATATAAGCATTAAGCATAAGCAAACAGTGTCAGAAGTGACAGAAAAATATTCAATTTCTCTTGAGAATAAACATTAACGCTACCAAAAAAAAAGAAAGAAAAAAAGAAAGGAATTTCTATAAAAGTGAGAACAACTCACCATGTTTTTTCAATGGAGGCTCTTCCTCTTCTCCTAATTCAAGACAGAAAGAGTAATTTAGAAAATATTCAGCATGACAGTACTGTCTCTCTATTTTCTCTTTTCCTTTCATGTACATATTAAATTCCATTGCTAATTTTGACAGGCAAGTCCAGATGAACTGCAGTCTATTTGTTCTTGCATATAACTTCCTTCACCTTTGTCTCCCAAATTCAAAGCTTTTCAACACTGGATAATCCTGGTTTATACATATTCATTTAAGGTGGTTTGACTTTTGTGCATTTAACAAAATTATGTCAGGAAATCATTTCAGACAGCAATAGGTTCACATCATGCTTTCTTCAGTTTGTCTCTGATCTTCATTTTGACCTTTTCCAGGGGGCCAAATGAATCAAAAACAAAAATTCAAAAACCATCAAATGAGTTCAAGAAGGGGCTTTATAATAAACACCTGTTAGCCGGACAAGGCTGTGACACCCATCAAATCACAGTAGGCCACTGCCTATGACCTTTACTTCTGAAAGCTAACATGTAAATAGCTACTGAGCTATCATTTTAAAAAGAGGGTTGTAAAAAACATTTCTTTTGTTTTTCTTCCTTTATTCTCAAAATATACTGAATAGATTTTTTTTTCAATATTTATAGTTTCCTGTTACCCTGATAGATATAACAGAAAAGCTAGGTTAGTTACATAATTATGTCACATTGAATAGAATTGCATTCTGCTTTCCCAGGACCCATCCAGTTCAGCTATCTTAGTTGAGATTTTGGTAGTATTACCTCCTACTGTTCTGAGTGAAATAAAAAGGCTGTCTCCAGGTTCCCTAAATGTTATGTGTACTTTCATTTCACTGCTGCCCTTTTAGTCCTTCTGGCCTCAAAATTAAAGATAAAGCTGTGGACTAACTAAGTCTTATCCTAAGCAGCAGCTGGAAATGTGTTTCTATCATGAGTTTACAGTAACAAATGATCTAGCCCTCTTCTCTGACATTGGAGCTGTAATGGCAAATCAAATGCAAGATGAAAGCTTTATGGAGACCCATTTACTGAGCAGAGCAGCCAGTTGATGTGCTATTAGTACTGGAGATCCATTTCATTATTTTCTGGCTTGACTTCAGTGCCACATGTGGTTAAAACTAAATATGTCACGATAATACATGAAGAGTTATTAGTTAATAGTTAAACATTCCCTGTACCTTCATCAGTGTCGACTCCCTCGTCATCATCATCATCTTCATCGGAAGATATGATATCAGACAGCAATGAAAAAAATCCATAGATCCAATCTGTAGTTTCTTCCACAGCATCATGTACAATTTTTAGAGGGTCAGAGCCAATCTTGGAAATGGAACTTGCTAAAAGTAATTTAAGACAAGAGAAGGAGAATTATATAATTTATTTTGTACATATTTTCTCTACCAAGAAAGCTAAGAAAAATTATTCTTTCTGATTGGTTCCTTTGACACAAGTTTTATGAACTTGAAAATATCTGTTACCTATACTTGTGTTGCTAAATGAATGCAACTGAAAATCATATTTTTTTGGTATAGAAGACTTTCTGAAGTGTAGGTTGGTACAGTGTAAGGAGCACTTAATCGAGATCAGGAAACCCATGTCCTAGTTTTGAGTTTGTTAATTAATTCCCTATGCAACTTTGCCATTTGGGCAAGTCTACCCCTCTAGGACTCAGTTTGATCACAGGGATGATCTGTAGGGTCCTTTCTAACTTTGGTTGTCCATGCTCTTATGATTTTAGTCCAACCCTCGTATTTTATAGATGGGACAACTGAGGTCCAGAGAGTTCAAAGGATTTTCCCAAAGTCATATTGATTTAGTGGAAAAATAAAGACTGGACTGCTGCTATTTTAACAATCTTTTCTCTATTCTTTCCACTAGATTACAGTTTAATATGAATATGTATTCAATCAGCAAGTATTTATTGACTGCTTAGTATGTGGCCAATATTGTACTTGCCACTACATTGCACAGTGAATAGAACACCCAACCTCATGTTTTGTTTCATGACCCTGAGCAAGTCACTTAATCTCTCTGTCCTTCAGCTACCTCATTTGTAAAATGGAGATAAATAGTAGCATCCACATCCTTTCTTTGTTGTGGAGAGAAATGAGACAATATTTGTAAATTGCTTTGCAAATCTTAAAGTGTTATGTAAATGCTAATTGTTATCATAAGAGGATATGACACCATACAAAAATGTTTGACATATTCAAGAAGCTTACAGTCTATGTGAGGAAACATTCATATGTGAAACAATTAGAAGACAATAAACCAATCAAATGCCCCAAAATGTGGAATAAGCTGCAAGTGGTATTATAGATCAAAAAGACCAAAAGCAACTCTAGCTTAGAATTGTAGAAGGTGGTATCATGAGAGAGGTAAGATTTATTTTGCAAACTAACATTCCCAATATGATTGATGACCTTAAGTCCATGCATTTAATACCTCTACAACTCTTTTAGGAGAAGGCTGGAAACTTCTTCTGGGCTTCATCTTCACTAGGAACAATATTTGGGTTTAGGATCATATTATGCCATGTCCTCACTAAATAAACTATCTGCTTTTCTGTTCATAGAATTAGTGAAGCCTGTGAAATTCATTATCAACTTACTTGTCAAATAAAAGGTGAGATATTTATGAGGTGAAGGAATCCAGTAATAAATATATGTATGTGTGTGTGTGTGTGTGTGTATACACACACACACACACACACACACACAGTAAATGACATCCTAATGTTATCCCATTTTCTTCTACATCCACTTGAGTTATCTGTAAGTTATCTGTAAGTAAGCATTTACTACAATAGCTCCAAAACTGGATACTAGAGCTCAAATAATATATTTATATTTCAATATTGCCATATATTGTTATTTGTAATTACAACATTAATTTGGGACTAATAGGGATTCACCATTAGGAAGAGAGAGGAGTCAAGGCAGGCCTGTGCCTCAAAATGGTAATATGTGAAATTGATTGAAAATCTCCAACTGAGAATGAATGGAAACTGTTTAGCCTTTATTGATTCTCTAATGCATAAGGTTAGCTTAACCAAGAGGAGATAAATGGGAGTGGAGGGGGAGTTGGAATAGACCCACCTGGGAGGGCAGATTCAGAATAAGGAAGTAAGTTTTACTGGAACAAAAATAAACTGAGTAAAGAGGTACCAGTATATGAAATAAGAAAGGATCAAATGGGATAGTTTTAGGGACAAGAGAGAGAAAAGTTGTTTCTCAATGAAGGATTAATTGGGAAAAGTAGAGTTTTCAAGACTTTAACTAGGAAGTTGATGGTGAAATGATCCATGATGACCAAGCTAAAAGGCTAGAAAAGAGATACTATTGCTTCAGATCAGACTTCCATATCTACTGAGGGATAGAAGGAAGTTTGTCAAAACCTGTGAAGGGCAACTTTAGTCAGCCAATTTCTTGGTTATGAAATTAAAAGTGAGTTATAATCAAGGTTAATAGAATAATTTAAGAGCATGTAGAAGAGAAAGGGTGTGTGAGAGAGAAAGGGGAGGTATAACAGGAACTTCCTATACGGTTTGCCTGACAAAAGGGACATTATTGTTTGAGAACATATTATGATTTGGATTTGGGTTATATCTAAAAATGCTTTAGGACTAGTATATTCTTACTCAGACTGCAAGGACACACTAAATGGAATGTTTATGTTGAGAATAATTTTCTTCCATTCCCTCAATTCCTAAATTTTAACTGAAGAGCTTAACAGTAAAATTCAATTAAATAGAAATCAGTTTAATTACCTACATTTCTAGCTACAGTATTTATTCTTGGCAGGCGTGAATCTTTCCAGGCAGTAAAAACAGACTCATAAGACCATGTTCCCCCATATAATCTATGTGCCAGTTTGAAAGCCAACTTCCACTTACAAATAAGCAGAAAAATAAAAATAAATAAATAAATACATAGGCTGAAATAAAATGAGAGAAAGATGGGATCTTAGCCAGGAATGGATTATACTTAACAAGAGTAGATAAAATATGTTTACTTGGAGATGAGTGGATCTCCTTAAAAGAGAGCTTAAAAATGAAGATAAAAGGAAGAGAAACCTTACCACATTCATCAACTGAGACAAATTCTTGTGAGAATGGTATGACATAGGAAGACAAGCATTGATAGAGAAGATGAATAATTATCAAGAGACAGTATCTAAGAAGAGGAGCAGCAATAAGATTCATGACCTCAGTTGCCCATATACAAACAAGCTGAGTTTGGGTAATAAACAAGGTGAACTAGAAACCTTAAGATAAGGAAGTATTTTTGACTTCATTGATACTGTTTTCTTAATTCTTAGATAGTCAGTAGAGCAGACTAAAGAAAGAAGTGTCTTGGGAGCCTTTAGGAAAAGAAATAATGATCACTAAGAACAGTATCAGTTTATCTACACATTCTCATTTTTTATTTTACAAGATTACTACATCTTACAATAATTGCTGAGAAAACTGGAAGGCAGTTTGGCAGAAACTAAATGTAAGCCAACATTTCACACAATATACCAAGATAAGGCCAGATTGGATAAATAATTTAGACATAAAGGGTAATATCATAAGTAAACTAGGAAAATCTGGAAAAATGTATTTCTGAATAAGGGCAGCATTTAGGATCAAACAAGAGATAGGACCATGGGAAGTAAAATAGATAATTTTAATTACATATAAACAAAACTAATGCAGCCAAAAGTAGGAGGAAAACAGGGAATGGGGAAAATATTTCAATAAATTTCTCTGATAAAGGTCTCATTTCTCAAATACGTAGAGAACTGATCCAAATTTGCAGAAATAAGAGCCATTCCTCAGTCGATAAAGGATTTAAATATATGAACAGGCAGTTTTCAGAAAAAGAAATCAAAGCTGGAAATAGTCATATAAAATGTTCTAAATCACTATTAATTAGAGAAATACACAATAAAACAACTCTGAAGTACCACCCTACATCTTTCAAATTGGCTAATATGACAGCAAAGAAAAATGACAAGTGCTGGAGTGTTTGGGGAAACATTAGGACATTAATGCACTATTAGTAGAGTTGTGAACTGCTCCAATTATTGTGGAGAACAATTTGGAACTATGCCCAAAGGTGCACAATATTGTATACTATGAGGGGCTGCCCATTGATTAGGGAATGGCCAAATAAGTTGTGCTATGTGATTGTGATGGAATACTATTGTGCTATAAGAAATGATGAACAGGATGGTTTCAGAGAAAAAAAAAACCTGGGAAGATTTAAATGACCTCAAAGAGAAGTGAACATAACATCGTACACAGCAACAACAATATTGTGAGGATGATCAACTGTGACAACCTCAGCTATTTAAAATGGTCATTAACAATAATTCAGATAATGATCCAAGACAATCCCAAATGACCCATGATAAAAATGTTTTCCACTTCCAGAGAGAAAACTGATGAATTCTGAATGCAGATTGAAGGCAACTTTTTCTTTACTTTTTTTCTTGTTTTATTTTTTGCCTGTATTTTCTTTTATAATATTGCTAATATGGAAATCTGTTTTCCATGATTTCACATACATAATAAATATCAAATTCCTTGCCTTCCCAAAGAAGGGAGGAGGGAAGGAGAGAATTTGAAACAATTTTTTAATGATTATTAAAAAATATTTACATGTAATTTGGGAAATATTTAATTAAATGAAAAATGTTTTAAAAAATAATGTGTAAATTACTACAAAATGTTAGATATTATTATTAAGAGGTTCTACCCAAGAAAAAGTTCAAATTTAGCCTAATTTTCAAGCTTTTCCCTCATCTTACCCTAATTTATCTTGTCCTACCATTCAAGCTCACCTATCATCTGGTTTCACTATACCTTTCAAACTTCAGGTCTAAGCTTCTCCAATACATTCCTTCCATTATAGCCAGCTAGTCAACTCACTGTTCCTAGAACACAACTTGAATTTCTGTTTATTTGTCCTTACTCAGACTGTTTCTCCCCTCCAAATACCTGACTCCAACTATCTCTGTGCTGCTGTACTCATCAATATCTACTTATCTGACAATCACTCTAAAACATCTTTCACATCTCTGTATATTGAAACCCTTTCCCTCTTTCAAAGCCTCATCTCAAATACTTCTCTTTCCTGAAATTTGATTTCTCTCATCTGAGAGTAATTTCTCTACATTCAAATTTCTTGGAGCACTTTGTCTACGTAACAAGGTAGCTAAGACCAGGTCTTCTTAAACTTTTTCCACTCCTGATCCCTTCAGCACTTCTTAAACTGTGAGTCATGACATATGTGGTCATGACCCACAATTCAGACAACCTTAAGACCATAAGTTACAGAGGAGATGCTGA